TATGTCCATATTTCGCCGAGAATATTAAAATCTAAAGCAGAAGAGAGCGATCACCGCCTCATATCAGCCTATCATCTCAACCATTATCTCTTTAATGCTGAACATAAACCTCCCCATAGACTGCCATAAGGAATAGTCCTAAACCACCTGAATGTATTTACTTGCTACTATTGCAATGCATTTGAATTCGTCACTCCACCATTGGTTATCGATTCTTCGAATTATGTGACCAGCCTATTGCTACTTGAACTTACTTATCTTTCAGGCTACTTTGCTTTACAGAATTTCTTGATTGGTACTAAAGTTTTCATAATTGTGTATCACTAATATTGTTAAAATATTCATTATCCAATTGGCAAGATGTATATTCGACAAAAAAACACAGCTTAAATACATCCAGGTCTATATAAAAAACTCTTGATACCGAAGTGAAATAAAGCATAGAAGAGTCATAATATATTTCAAACATTATTATCATTTATTTTTAATGCGTTCAAAGTAATTTATAATATTACAATTCAATTATATTCCAAATTGAACGGCAAAGAATTAAAAAAACCATAAAACTACCTTAAATAAAGAATGCTAAATATTTTTAATAAAATTTACTGAACATTTCTACAAAATTCACATATTAGTTGTATCAGTAAAATAAAATAAAAAAATACTGCTGAAAAATTTCTTTATTAGAATAAAAATCTAAATTAGATTCAGTTATTTTTACATCACTAAGTTCATCGGCAGTTGAATACAAATTGCTTGTTATCTTACTCGATCTCAAATACATTACCATCTAGAACGAGTTTAAGAAAAAAAAAAAAAAACAATTGAATGCCATAAGAAAACTCCGTAATTATGTTAACGTTGGTTTCCGGGAAGAAAAGTTATAATGTCTACCCGATAACTCAATTTGCTCTCCCCTAATTCCAAAGCTGAGTACTGAACTTTTCAATCTGGCTACCCTTGAAGACCCGGTGTCGGTCTGCTGAACCAATAAAATGACATCTCAGCCATCGATATACGAAAAACTCAAGATATACAAACGATGAATAAAAAGTGGTCAGTGCTTTGTTGTTCAGTTCGTATACTTAGGTTGAATTCGAAACTGCATATTTTTGTTAAATAAAAACGATTCAGAATATGACAAAAAATTTTGAAAGGACCATACGAATATATCTATCAGTCGAGTTACTATGGGATTTGTATTTAATTTGCGAATAAATTTAGATTAATTATAGAATAGTCTCTTAAAGAGATATCTACATATAAAAAAAAGACTCCACTAATTCACAGTAAAGACTTAACTATTTGTTTTTCTAAATTTAATTAGTTACAATTTTAAGTGCAATTTTTGTAAGTAATGTAAATCTTGGACTTCTTTTACATCTACGTATTCCACTTTAATATTTTCCCGTCACGTTCATGCTGCGCCGCTAATCTTCTAAGTGACGACTTTTGAATAAGTTTATCAGAATTCTGCTATGAAGTTTATTGAAAGCAGTGAATAAATAGAGCACTCCAAAGTTGAATTTTCTGTTTGTTTTATATCTTCTGCGATTTTGAATTAAAATTGATTTTCATTTATTTATAGTACTTCGTTTTCGTACTACTTCGCTTTTTAAAATAAATAGAATTTAACCAACAAAGAATGGTAAACAAGGTGGTGACTCTCTATGAAAAGTGGCACCCACTGTGTCACATGATTAATTCCATTGCCATATCCCACATGTCAAGTCTAAATATAGCAATGCAAGGATGGTTATTTCAAGAAACAAGTGAGACAGATGTGTTTAAGCAGACGACTCTTGTATAAAGTTTTTTTTTGTACCACTATGGTGGCAAACAAGTATATCTCTCTATTAGAGAGAGTCTCTAATAATAAACGGTCACTGTAGCCTATGGACGCTTGCTACGTTAAGAGTGTCACGTGCGCATTGCCGACACTGAAGAAACCTTTCAATAGTATTATAATATATTAACGAAATAAATTCTTGGAATCATAACTTGCTATATAAACTTAAACTCGGTTCTAATTTGTAAACTTTCTATTCTATACAGGATTATTCAAAGAAGGTACACCAAGTCGAAACCCGTTTATATTATTCATAGAACCGAACGATTTTCCCTAAGGAGCATAGTTGAAATCTGAAAATATATTTTAATCTGTCTATACAAATCCGCGGTCACGAGCTCCATTTAGTATGAACGTTTAACATAATTATCCCTATTTAGCGTTTAATTCGATTGTATTTAATATTTATTTTGGCTGCCACTTTTTACGCGTGGATTTTAGATGGAGAAAAATAATTAATTAATTTTAGATAGCGTATCAAGATAAAACATACAAAGATTAATTTTTTTTTTTAATAAAGTTTATTGTATGATTATATCTGAAACAAAAATCAAATTATAAAACAATAACAAAGTATTAAATCAGATTTTTGCGAATACTACTGCGAAAATTTCTAATTTGATGGAGCTTTTGCGTAAAGTTAGAACAAATATACGTATGTTACAGATGAAGAAAAACTCTAAATAAAGTTGTTTCAACTTCTATTGCTTAAATGATTAAAATGATTTTTCACAAATATCTCTGTACAGTCACTATATATACACTATATATAATATCTCCTCAATACATAATCTATATATTACTAGCTGACCCCGTAAACGTTGTTTTACCACTTATTGCGAAATATAAAAATCGCGATTACAAGACAGGGGTTGATCGTAAAACGATGAAAATTTAAAGTTGTGTGTATTTTTAATGCTAAACTATAATAAAATAAAAATGGAAAAATTTGTTAAAAAATAAAAAAAGATTTTTTTTGGGGAGGGTCACCCTTATCATTGAGGGGTATGAAAAATAGATGTTGGCCGATTCTCAGACCTACCCAATATGCACACAAAATTTCATAAAAATCGGTAAAGCCGTTTCGGAGGAGTTTGGTAACAATCACCGTGACACGAGAATTTTATATATGGTATAATATTATTATTATTTATTATTATATGTACATTTATAATCTAATACATTGACAGCTAAATGCATTATTGATTAGATAATGTACAGTGATGGCCTAGCTCTAGCAGGTATACTGACCGTGAAACTGTTAAATGCACCTGCCTTGGTACTTCTGAACTAGGCAGCAGTAGATATACGATTCTATACTATTGTATCTAGGTTCAAAATAGACTGAATCCTGCATATGCAGGTCGCGCGACTCGCTGGGCACAGAAATGTTAAGGTCACAATTCTCTCGGAAAATTACCCTACTCTAAAACTATCTGTAGTGTAGTTATTTCTATTTGTGAATGTACGATCTTTTTAAGCGAGTTCTAAGAATATGGAGTTCTCAGATTATTTGTTTTTTTTCTAAGTGTACACTTAGTATATATAAAGTATAGAAATCTAAGTTTCTGAAACTATACGCTAGAGGCACAGTTAACTTTTTGATACAAACATATTGAATAAACGTGGACGTGATCGTAACTTTAATTTTTGTGGCACTAACTCTAAGAATTTTTGTCTCATAAACAAGGTAGAAATGAATTTATTGATAGAATTGTTTCGCTCAGCGCTCACATGAGAAAGAAAAAGCACAAGCCGCCATCTTATTCTATTCCATAGACTCGCTAGCGATAACGATTCTATCAATAGATTCATTTGTAATTATATAAAGAAGCTATATAGATATTTTAAGCGATGTATTCAGGAATTATGTAATAATTTTGATAAAAGATTTTTACAACTGTAATTATAAAAAGAATGTTGTAGTTGACAAAGATTACGTGCTTTTTGGTACAAAACAGTTTTTCAAGAACCTACACAAGGACGAAAAAAATATTTTATAATAATACAGACTGTTGAAGTTTAAAATTATGGAGCGAAGTAGAGGTATAAATTTTAATTCTGTGAGATTTTATGTTTCGTTTGATTAATAGATATTTATAAAGGATGCGAAATAAAAAAAACCAATTTTCTTAGATGTTGCCTAAGCACTGTCAGAGCACGCACTAAAATCAAGGAAAAAAGGTAATTCTATATTTATAAGTATAGTGCGTACCCTCAGTATTTTTAATTTTTATTTATAATGGACTGTATTAATAATAAAACTATAAGTGGGTACATTTATATAGGTATACAAAAATAGGTGTAAAAAAGTACAAATAATAATAATATAAACTAAATCGTAGTGCGTCGCCTACAATTCTGCCTCCTTAGTGCTAACTAGTTAGCACTATCAATACTTGCCGGTGATAGTAAGGCGACGCGAGTGACTGGTCGACACATTAGCCCTGTCCGAGTTCTTACGTCCACGACGCGTACGCGGCCGTCTTCCCCTGTATGACTCGCGGTGACTATTCCGTGACGCCAGCAACCACGGTCCAATTTGGGATCAACTATTAAAACATAATCACCTATCTGTAGTGATCTGGTTTCCTCCGTCCATTTTTGTCTGGGCAGTAACGTAGGAAGGTACTCCCTCGTCCAGCGATTCCAGAACATATCAGTAATGCGTTGCGCTATACGCCAACGCTTTCGTAAAGAAAGGTCAGAATCGTTAAATTGTCCATACATGGGACCAGTGGATGATGTACCAATCAAAAAATGATTAGGGCTTAATGCTTCTGGATAATTGGGATCCATAGAGACATGTGTTATAGGTCGGCTATTAACTAAAGCTTCAACCTCTGTTAAAATGGTAGCCAGTGTATCAGGATGAGGAGCTCGCTCTTTAAGGGTCACTTTAAGTGCCGTCTTTACAGTACGTACCATCCTTTCCCATGCGCCTCCCATTTCGGGAGCACCAGGTGGAATGAAACGCCATTCGAGCCCCCGTATTGCTCCATCATCACACAGTGCTTTCACATCTATCTCTGCAATACTACGCTTTAACTCTGTATCGGCGCCTCTTAGGTTTGTACCATTATCAGAGTAAATAACTGTAGGCAAACCTCGCCGAGCTCCCATTCGACGTAAGGCCATTATGGCAGAATCAGTGGATAGATCTTCGGTCACTTCTATATGAATTGCACGAATAGTTAAGCATGTGAAAAGCATGCAATACCTCTTCTGCCTCCTGCGACCGATAGTAACGTCCATCGGTCCAAAAAAATCGACGCCTGTGAAACTGAATGGCCGTCTGTGAATTTGCAGTCTCGCTGCAGGCAAATCGGCCATCCGTTGAGGCTGCGGAGAGGCACGCCGTGATCGACAGCTGAGGCATTGGGCAGCCACAGTACGGACCGTTGGTCTTAATTTAAGTATCCAGTACTGCTGTCGTAACTGGTTAACGACGAGCTCGTTAGATCCATGCATTGCCTCTTTATGATGATGGTAAACCAGGAGTCGAGTGATTCTATGTCGACCATCAAGTATTACAGGTCTCAAAGTAGACGGTTCTACTCCAGCCGCGCGGTCGATGCGGCCACCGACACGCAGCACGCCTGTTTCGTCGAGATATGGGGTAAGTTTAAGCAAACGGCTATTACGCATAATAGGTTTATCTTGTTGTAAACAAGATATTTCAGTTAAAAAAGTATCTTGTTGACACTTTTTTGTTAACAATTTTTCAGCTTCTTTCATTAAAGAAACATCAAGCTGAATATTCTTACGCTGACATTTTCTAATAAACAATAATACACGGGCGGTGGCTCTCACTAATGTGATCCAGTTCGAGATATTATCTTCACTAGGCAAAGATAACTCTGAACTACAGGTGACCACATTAATTGATCGTTCCTCACAAATGACATCTTGCGATGTTTTGGAGAACTTGCGATCTTTAGGCCACTCACTCTCAGGTCGGCGTAGAAACGCAGGACCTTGAAACCACGAGTTCGAGTACGTGAGTGGTGGTGCATCATCTTGTGTAGCTACATCGGCTATGTTAATATCAGACGGCACGTAACGCCACTCACAGTTTTTCGTCAACTCATCGATCTCACCAAGGCGGTGAGCGACATACGGTTTGTAATTACGTGGATCACTACGAATCCATTGTAAAACAGTGCTGGAATCAGTCCAGAAATAGCGTGTGGTAGGTTTGAAATCTTTATGATCGCTATCAATGATATTCGCAAGACGAGCGGCTAACAACGCTCCTTGCAGTTCAAGCCTAGGAATTGACACGGGACGAAGCGGACTTACCCGGCTTTTACTACCCACGAAACTAATTTGAACGTAACCATCTGATCGCGTCAGTCGCCAATATGATACTGCAGAGTATGCCTTAGTCGAGGCATCACAAAAAGTATGTAGTTGTATATCTACAAAATTATTATTACAAGATACATAATTCGATATATTGTTATAACAATGAGTCCACTCGCTACAATTACTATAACATCTAGGGATACGTAAAGTATCTAACTTCTTTAATTCATGTAACCAGCTAGTAAACTGGGCAAACTCTTTAGGTTGGATGTGGCATTTCCATTCGACACCACTACGATGCACGCTTTGAAACAATATTTTCCCTTTAATTATACAAGGAGATAGAAATCCATGAATATCATATACGGACATCAAAATACTAAGCATTTGAGCCTTTGTTGGGGGCTCAATACCATTTGATATATTTTGCGGAATACGATTAAATGATATTTTAAAAGAAAATGCATCGTCATTAGGATACCATATCAAACCAAGAGTGCGCTCAGTTGTATTATTAGCTCCATGTTTAAAAGCAACAGCAGACTGCGCGAGCGACTGCTGCGGTATTGTGTTTAAAACCGGTTTGCTATTGCTCGACCAACGGCCTATCTCGAAACCGCCATGACTATGAATTTCGGTAATTTCGCGGACTAATTTAATAGCTTTTTCTTCGCTGTCACACGAATATAAACAATCATCCATATAATATCATAGATATAAATCTTCATATTTAAGCGCATTTTTATTTTTTATGTGTTGCGCAATAAATGGGGAACAAGTTGCTCCGAAAATTAAACTTTGCATGACACATGTTTTTGTTGGTGAATTGTCATCTTCCTGCCATAAAAACCTAAGTAAATGTTGGTCTTCAGCTCTGATGCGTATACGTAAAAACATGTCCTTTATATCTCCAACAATAACATATTTATGTTCCCGAAATCTCAACATAATACCTAACAATGAGTTATATAAATCGGGTCCCGTAAGTAAGAAATCATTTAAACATAAACCGTTGACCTTACCAGCACCGTCAAATACTAGCCTTAGCTTATCGGGTTTGTTCGGATTTAGAACGCCAAAATTTTTTTTTTTTTTTTTTTTTTTTTTATACCACTGAGGTGGCAAACAAGCATACGGCCCACCTGATGGTAAGCGGTTACCGTAGCCTATGAACGCCTGCAATACCAGAGGTATTACGCGCGCGTTGCCGACCCTGAAGAAACCTCTTTACCCCCCTTTTGAAGAACCCCATGCTGTAGTCTCTCGGGAAAACCTCGGCAGGGAGCTCATTCCATAACCTGAGTGTTCGTGGGAGAAAGCATCTCTGAAACCGCGTTGTACGCGACCATTTAGGCTGTAAGGTATGAGGGTGAACTCCCTGCCGATGGCGAGCCGTACGATGATAGAAAGTGGCCGTAGGCATCATATTGAATAATTCCTCTGAGCACAATCCGTTGTATAAGCGGTAGAACACGCAGAGTGAGGCAAAATCTCTCCTAAGACTTAAGGGTTCGATACCGCTTGCAAGCATGGGATCATCGACAATTCTCATAGCTCGTCGTTGCACTGAGTCGAAGGGTTCAAGCTGGTATCTAGGTGCTCCCGCCCATAAGTGACAGCAATACTCCATATGGGGCCGGATTTGCGATTTGTAAAGCATTAATCGCTGATCCGGCGTGAAGTAATGCTTCGCTCTATTGAGCACACCGAGATTTTTGGATGCCAGCTTCACCTTATCTTCGAGGTGGCCACGGAACTGTACGTCACTAGAGATGTCGACACCAAGGATCCCAATGCTTTTAGAGATGTTAAGAGACGTGCCTTGGAACTGTGGGGCCACAGCAAATGGGGTTTTTTTAGCGGTGAACGCGCAAGCTTGTGTCTTAGAGGGGTTAAATTGGACCAAGTTTTGTCGTCCCCAATCAGAGACTCCAGTTAGTGTTCTCTCGATTTCAGACACAAGCTGTTCACGATTGTTCTCCACGATGGAACGGGAGACATTGGTACGACCCGTATAAAGGGCATCCCCGGTGCTATCATCCGCATAACAATGAATGCTACCGAAGGTTAACATATCATTAATATGCAGTAGAAACAGCGTTGGGGACAGCACAGAGCCCTGCGGGACGCCAGCGTTAATATCCATGCTATCGGAGCAGCAACCATCTACAACGGTTTTTATACGTCTGCCGGATAAAAAACTGGCGACCCATTTACAGAGGCTGTCGGGAAGTCCATAGTAGGGCAATTTCGATAGAAGACCCCGATGCCAGACCCGGTCAAATGCCTTTGCAATATCAAGACCGACAGCGAGCGCCTCACCTTGACTCTCAATGGCTGATGCCCATCGGTGCGTAAGATATACCAAGAGGTCACCAGTTGAGCGACTATGGCGAAAGCCATATTGGCGGTCACTCAATAAATCGTGATCCTCTAGGTATTTTAACAGCTGTGCGTTAACTATACGCTCCATCACCTTAGAGAGAAGGGAAGCGATCGCAATCGGTCTGTAATTTGAAGGGTCCGACTTATCGCCCTTTTTAGGTACAGGATGTACAAGGGTGGTCTTCCATGTCGAAGGAAATTGCCCTGTGGAGTACGAGATCGTGAAGAGACGCGTTAATACAGGACACAATTCCGGAGCACACTGCTTTAGGACCACTGCCGGTATACCGTCTGGCCCACTCGACTTATGAACATCTAAGGATAGTAACTCCCGCCGGACTTTACATTGTGTTATAGTAATTTCCGGCATGGAGCTTCCGCAACACAAGATGGTAGGTGGTACAGAATTACCTTCGTCCATAGTCGAGTTAGAGGCAAAGAGAATGCCAAATAAGTCGGCTTTCTCTTTAGCACTGTAGGCCAAGTTACCATTCGGTTTCCGAAGTGGTGGAAAAGACGACTGACAAAAGTTTCCTTGGGCAGCTTTAGCAAGCGACCAGAAAGCACGGTTACCAGAAGGAAGGCTTGATAGTCGCCTACCAATTCTGCCCACAAATTCAAATTTGGCTCTGGCAATTACTCTCTTACTGGACCTCGAAGCAGCATTTAATTTGCGCTTTGCATCACTGATTTCAGGATCAGAGTTAGTGCGAGCCGTAGTCCAAGCCTTGTATGCAGCTTGCTGAGCAAATCTGGCTTTCTTACAAGACCGGTTAAACCACGGACGCTTCTTCGATCCCATTGCCACTAGCGGGTTGGGGATAAATAGCTTCATACCTTCAATGATAGCCTCGCTAACGGCAATTGCGCAGTCGTTAGGATCATGTGATGCAAAACAGAGCTGCTTCCACGGGTACGATGCATAAAATTCTCGCAATCCATCCCAGTCTGCTGACTTATAGTGCCACACGCGACGTCGTCCAATAGGACGGGGTGGATCAGGTCGAGTGTTGGGGACATCAGCCCGGATAAGACAATGGTCGGATGAGCCAATTGGCGCATCCACTCTGACGGTATATCCATCCGGGTGTGTTGTCAGCAGAAGGTCCAGCAAGGAGCTTGTATGGTTCTCTATATCTGGAATTCTCGTTTGAAATGACAAAGATACCATATGCGGTCAGCCGAAAGTTCATTTTCCTTCAGTTCTCGAGCGTAACCATTATCAAATAACTTGTGCATCTCTGTTCGATACCTAGCTGCGTACGCGCTGTCCGTTTTGAATTTTCTTAACAACCCCTGTAAGCGCGACAGTGCGTAGTTATAACTATCTGGTATATATAATTCATCCTTAACAAATGGCAATCCTACTTCCCACCTGTTGTTTACATTACGCGCGGTCTGATCTAATATGTTGACCGCTCTCAAGTCGGCCGTATTCTCACGACATAAGGTCGAGATTCCAATGCAGTCCAGTTTATATGAGTTTTGAACTAAATCATTTAAAATATTTATTTCACTTACCTCGTCGCTGTGCATAACGTGGAAGCTATGCCCCAGTGTTAATGACGAATTTGAGCGACTATAATTGCCATGTATCGACCAGCCTAAACGACAACGCGTTGCATAGGGTTCAAATTTATTTCCATGCAATATTTCAAGTGGCGCCAAAAGAAAATAATTATCTTCACCTATTAAGAGACGAGGCACTACGTTTTCAGTACATACAAATTGTTTCACAGATGACAAATGTTTACAATGAATATTATTTATTACGGACAAATTTTGCATAGGTAATTTTAATGCAGACACATTACGTAAAGTTATATTATAGTTACAGTTATCATGACCAGAAATACGTAAACAAACTTTAGGAGCATCAGATTGATAGACTTCTACACCAAAAGCATCAATAAATTTAACAGAACTAGAAGTTAAACTCTCAAGACCGAGCTCATTAACTAAAACAGAATCGATCATTGATATAGAAGCTCCATCATCTAGTAACGCATAAGTACTCACTGTGCCATTGGGTCCACTTAACTTAACTTTCACTATTTTTAGCATCACATCACATGACGTCACCGCGTCCGAGTCTGCGCGGCTCAGGTGACCGGGCGCGCTCACGTTCGTAGCGGAGTCCACGTAGGCTATGGTCGCGTCCGTGCCTGATGATGATTCGTATTGTGGTGGTGATATCTCCACAGAGGCTACTGGTTGCATATCTGTGTGGGCAGGCTTCCTATAATGTAATAATCGATGATGCGGCAGCCCACAGTTATCTATGTCACACATAGGTGCAGCGCACATACTACGATCGTGCCGGGCGAGTAAACAACAATAACATAATTTGTTATTTTTTACAAAATACCATCGGTCTCTGCGCATAGCCCTTTTAAATATTCTGCAATCTGGCAATAAGTGTTGACATTTCTTACAAAACTGACATAATTTAGAATTATTCTCATTAACAGCCGTTGTTGTAAATACCACTTGTTTATTATTATAGTTATGGCGATAGCGCTCATCTGTTCGCTTGCTATATGACGTAGGCACGTCGAGTTTCTTTTGTTCTCGCGGTTGTGATAAACTGATTGCCGATATCATTTCTGCCTCACGTTTTAAAAATGATGCATATAACATAAGTTTAGGTGTACCGTCCGATAAGCGATCAAATGCGTAATCAGTAAATTTACTAATTAGTATGCTTGGTAATTTCGATGCTATTGCTGACACCAGTTCAGGACTACGCAAATAATCATGCAATTTCAATGTATTAAGTGTAGCAACGCAATTATTTATTTTAATCGAAAAATTAACAATATCTTGTTGATAGTTTGTAGGTAAAGGTGGTAACTTTTTTATCTGTGTAGTTATATATTGTATAATAATATCGGAACGGCCAAACCTCAGCTCCAGCGCAGACATGATGTCACTAGGCGAAGTGTTTCCGATTAACAGATCGGTGACTGCTTCTTTAGCATCACCTCTTAATGCACGACGTAACCTCCAAAGGTTTTCTGAATCACTGAATTGACACACTCTTGTTGATTCCTGGTATGCACTTTTGAAATGTAACCACTCAATGCAGTCTCCACTATAGGTAGGTAGGTCACGTGGTGTAGCCATGCGGCTTAGAAAACGCTCATCCTGACGTGATGACGAGTTCACCATCATATCTTTGAGGGTGTGTGCTAGTTGCAATATACTGTCTTCAATACCTGTGACAGGGCGGCTGTTTTGTAGACAATCGGTAGCCGGCACTGCCTTCTTCGTCGGTGCCGTGTTTAGATCCAGGTCAGGATAACACGACGGTTTGCACATTGCTTTGTTCCAGCCAGTCTTCAACGTGAGAATGAACATGTTGATCACATATAGATGCGGACTTGGATAAGTGGTCCGATTTCCTGCTGCCATCATTGATGATCGCCAGGTTAGCTTCAAGCTCCTTATCAATCAAATCCAACTGAATTTGTGCCTTCGCGCGGGCAGCCTGCAGTTCCAGCTGTTTTCGTTTGACCTCTGACGCCCTTGATAGTTTAGATGACGTAGTAGATTCGTTCTTCATACTCGTAGGATGTTGCCGTGATTGCTGCTTGAAGAGCTCCTTTTCACCACGTAGCGATATATTACTCCGTACCGTGCCACGCGGGGGAACTACAGCGGCGGCGTCCTTAGCGAGCACATGCTCCGATGCACATTCCAATCGATCGGTTAATTTATGACGTTCTTTGTACGATAACAGTTTATCACGCGGCGGTGTATTAAACATTGTACTGGTTCAGATTTGGCGAGAAGGATCAGCTTTATAAAGGATGCGAAATAAAAAAAAACAATTTTCTTAGATGTTGCCTAAGCACTGTCAGAGCACGCACTAAAATCAAGGAAAAAAGGTAATTCTATATTTATAAGTATAGTGCGTACCCTCAGTATTTTTAATTTTTATTTATAATGGACTGTATTAATAATAAAACTATAAGTGGGTACATTTATATAGGTATACAAAAATAGGTGTAAAAAAGTACAAATAATAATAATAATATAAACTAAATCGTAGTGCGTCGCCTACAGATATTTATATTCGTAATAATTGAATTAACTTGGATGTCAGTGTCTACTACTTCTTCGGCTAATATAGCTTTAATGCGCATAAATAGAATGAAAAATGAAATTCATGAATACACCGTTTACATATTTCTCTGTTTGCCCAGTGGTTAACTGGTAGAGAACACCGTTCAGTATTAAGCTGTATGTATGAATCTACATATCGTCACAGTATAATTATTGTGCATTAAAGTGTAAATAAATAAAAATAAATAAATCATGTTTGTAGAAACAAGTAAACCACATTGTTTCAGTGGAAATTGTCTATTTTATAGGTTTGGGTAGATTATAGAGTCCAATGGACTAATTATTAATATTTAACCTTCTTAGGGTTTCGTAACATAAAGGCACAAAGAAACCCTTATGGTGTGACTTTATCCATTATTCAGTTTGTTAGAGCGCTACTATTAATGTTTTCGACTTGAAATTTGGAATAATTTTACATATTGTTGATCCACATATTTTGCAGTAGAAATAATTGCATTTTTTTTTCTTTGCTCGGGGCCCAAGAGAGAGAGAGAGAGAGAGAGAGAGAGAGAGAGAGAGGAGAGATTATAAATTTCAAAATAGATTTACTAGTTAAGTGATATTTTATGAAAGGGCTTCATTTGTATATTTTTTTTTCTTTTTTTTTTATGATGTACGGTTTTTTACTTTTAATCGAAAATATAAAATCACCCATCCTCGGTTTTTTGCTTCACAAACTTCCCAGATAAGAGGACTATCTCCGAAGTTTGTGAAGCGAAAAGCCTGAAATAATTACAATTTATAAAGGTATGTATATATATATATATATATTTATAAAGGAAAATATTACAGGAAAAGTAACAAGATTTTGTTAACCAACACAGTCTTTAAAAATTTATAAAAAACCTCCCAAAACAAGCTTCATTTTATCTTCGTGCATCTAACCACAGTTACGGCTTAAATACAGAATTCCTAATTGAAATAATATTCTTCTTTTCATTTAAGAGTTTCCTCTTGTCGGTGCAACTAATTCATGCATCTCCCTCCAGCCAGCTCTAATATTAATGATTATTAAATATCACTTTAATTTAAAAAATACATTTAGGAGATCATTTTATATCATATGTTATTATACATATTTACATTTACATATACATATTTAATTTTTCAATAGATTTTTATTGATGCCAACAGATGGAGTTATTAGTAACTTAGAGATATGATATTTTTATACAGAAATTTGAATATTCTAGCAGTATCTTCCTAAAAATTCTTTTATGTACCGTACCGATTCATTTTTGTGTGTTTGTTATGGTAATTGCGACTTTTTAACATGTTTTCCTTGTAGTGAATAATTGGTTTTCATTATTTTGGTGCTTCAGTTTCAGTGTATTATTGAAGCAAAGGCGATTGCCCAACATGTTAATTTTTTACTCATCAAAAGAAAACAAAAATTTTTAGACACATTTTATGTACGGAACCCTCAGTGGGCGAGTTCAACTCACACTTTCTTTTTTAAAGTTAAATGCATAATAAATTAAGGCATAAATTATTAATTTGAAATATAATAATACTACTATATTATGAACTAACAAATATAATAATGTTATAGAAAATTTATGAATATTAAATTTATTTAATCAACTTTTTTATATTCGTTACAAAATGTAAGATTAAGATAAAATCACAGGCGTTAATAATTAAAATCCGTTCATTTAAAGGTTTCATTATTTGTTTGTTTACTTTATATCTTTGTTTATGTTGAACTGTTTGTTAATTTCCTTAGGTTCATATAAATAAGTTTTTTTTTGTCGTATACTGGCCATATTCTGCGGTTTTGCTATGTTTCCGATTTTAACTTAGCACAGAAACCTTAAGATATACTTAAGATATAACCTACTCGTGTAACAAATTTCACTCAAATCCATTTAGTAGTTTTTGTGTGGAAAAATAACAAACATCTATTTATCTTTATAGGATTTTATTAAATACTTGCAAACTTTTCTATAAAACATTAATTATTAAATAATATCGTTTAGTTAGTTAATTTTGAAGAGTTAAATTTGTATCTTCGTATAATTTAAATATCCTATCAATAAATATTCTATAAAAAAAAATTACAAGGTTTTTTCATTCTTATGATATAGTGAGAGGCGATTAGGAGAACAAAGCACAATACTTCAGTGTAAGAAAATAAAATCTCTGAAATGTAAAAATAAATTCCTGTCTTTAAATGTAACAATAGGGTTTGTATAAAAAAAAGGAAATACGGAGTAAAGAACATTTACTAATTTAAAAGTGTTATTAAAATATGGACATCACATACTAATAGTTATTGAAGAGTGTTTGAAAAGTTTTGAAACGAGTGGAATTTGAATCTATGTCTTGATATATGTGTCATGTATTATTTTCGCATTTTTATAAAATAGTTTTATCTACTTTTTATACTAGAGGGAGACTTTGTATAAAAGTCGATTGCTTAGGTACCTACCTCTGTCCCATTCGTATTTCAACCGTGAAGCATTTGTGTTTGCATGGCTGTGTTTCGGTTTGAAGGGTGGGATATGGCGTGAATTTACAGGGTACAGAGGAATAACATCTCTGTCCTCAGGAATGGCAACGCATGGGGGTATCATGGGCGAAACAGTATACTCTGTTATGTCCATGGTACTGCTCATGACTATAGACGACGGTTGCCACTTTCCATCAGGCGGGCCGTCACCTTGTCTGTCATTCTAAGTTGTATAAAAAAAAATTTGCAATTGCATAATGACAGGCTCAGCCTAGTATAGGAATCAATGATAAATTTTGTGAAAAAAATAAATAAATCTTAGTTTAAGCATTTTTTTTTATGATTTTTTACTTTATTTAAATTACCATATATAGAAAACGAGCAAAACCACGGGATACAGCTAGTGATAAACAAAATTATTTACTAATTTGATTGTTTTGTAAACATCATAATATATTACGTAATTTACAAAGCTCGATTACCGTAGAATAATAGGACTAAATTTTTTTTACAACTTAGAATGGCAAACAAGCTGACGGCCCACCTGATAGAAAGTGGTAACCGTCGCCTATAGACATGAGCATAACCATGGACATAACAGAGTATACTGTTTCGTCCATGATACCCCCCATGCGATGCCATTCCTGAGGACTGAGGTGTTATTTCTCTATATCCTGTAAATTCACGCCATATCCCACCCTTCAAACCGAAACATGGCCATGCAAACACAACTGCTTCACGGTTGAAACACGAATGGGACAGAGGTACCCAAGCAAACGACTTTTGTACAAAGTCTCCGTCTGATGAATATTTATATTTACAAAGACTAATAACAATAGAGTCAAGACCTACTAATATTCTATTTCAAAATTTTCTATATTCTGTAGTAACAGCTCGTAGCTACAATTTTTGATTCTAAAGTAAAATATTTTGCACTGTGAAAAAATCATTTCTCGATAATGTCATTCGATTTTTGAGTTTTTATTCAACATTTTTTTTTTACCGGTATGCATAAAACATAGGCTGAATTCGTCACATCGAATGGTATTAATAAAACTGAAGCCTCTGTGTCATTTTTGTAGAATGTGTGGTATGTCTGGACATGGATATCTAGATATGGACATGAAAACTCAAAAATCGAATGACATTATCGAGAAATGATTTTTTCACTGTACTAAATATTCTACTATAGAATCAAACAAATATATATATATATATATATATATATATATATATATATATATATATATATATGTAAACACAGAAAAGGTTCAGACCATCGATTTGTATCGACAAACATACATTATAAACATTAATATTTGTATTGTACGAACATCGAAACCACAACTACTGAAAAATGAACTAAAGTTAGAATAGAGAGGAGTGAGGTGCGACATAGAGTTAAGGTTATAAATTCAAATTCAAATCATCTTTAATAGACTTGTTTACGAGCATTTTTAAAACGTCATGCTTTATGAATGCAGGGTTCGGAATGTTGACCCACTTTTATATATATTTTTATAGATGTTGAGAAGAAATCAGAAGAAACTCAGCTCTTAGTATAAATTGAGTAATAACTAATAACATTATTATA